ATTCTTAAAATTCTTCTCCCAAATAAATATTTATTTAAACATAAAAAATCCTCAAATATATAAAAGTAAAAACGTCAAATATAATTCACCAATCATCTTAATTAGAAAAAACAAATCAAATAATCAAAAACAAAAACAAAATAAAATATATTTATCCGAGATATCAGCGAGTCCCGTATGCCCATGCGGTAAATTCCAACCTCATCAGAAAACATATGCCTTCCATATCTATGTACGGTCATGCTTCCTGGTAAGAAGAGTGGAAGACAAGTATTCCACCATGTACATCACGCCATGCTGATGTCAGGGTTCCTTTTTCGGCAAATCTAAAAAATGCCCCTCCATATATTTATTTTGTTTCAATTTTACCCTCAAATAAATTTTTGTACCAATCTTATCTGCAAGCACTTTTGATTTTTCACTGATTAGAATTTCTTAAAAGAAAATGTCTTCGTTCCTTACAGGACCATATTGTTTCTTACACGCACGCAAAGAAAAATAATAACTTGGATGAAATCCAGCATCAAATATGGACGTTTATATTATATATATAAAAAAATAGATGGAAAGATTAATTAATTAAAAATCTCTAAAACTTAAGAGCAAATGTGATATAATTTATTTTTTTGAAAGCAAGATTGAGACTACCTGTATAATTGGGAGTATTTTTGAGGCCTGTCCTTTCCTTTTTGTCCTACCAAGTCCTGGCTAGTTAATGGGAGAAATTATTTCTTTCTATATTCATGTTGGAAAAAAGAAAATATTCCATGTATTTCTAAGAGAAAAAAAAGGTCTACGTATAATTTTACTCGAATAAACATGGTAAGGCAAATGACAACTTCAAGAGATTAGTCTAAGTGGTTAAGAAAATTATTTATTTATTTTTTCTGAGTTCAACCTGTGATAAATATTGTGCATTTAAGATCGTTGAGATATAAAGCCATCAAGAAGACAAAAAAGGGTAAGATATATGGCATGACATTATCAACATTTCTGTTTTACTATATATAGTTAAAGAATCTTCGTATTTAGTTATTAATTAATAATTCTCAATTTTCTGATTACTATTTCCTAGCATGTTATGATTTTTTTCCTGATCAGATTATGAATTCCTTCTGCATCTACTAATTGTGATCTAATATCCCTTTATGTCTGTATGCACATATACATGTATATGTATATGTATATGTATATGTATAAGTCAGTGTTCAGTGTAAAGCAAGATTAATGATTAATCCTTACCTAAAATCCTGAGTATAGCAGAAGAGAATAGAGAAACAAATTACATTGAAGGAGATGATGTTTAGTTATAAAGCACCAGCAGCTCTAATTACACCATAAACCAAAAACACAATTATAATTACCAACAAACTTTTCCTTGTGCCGCTGGCCATATTATAATCCCTCCATTATCTACAACTTTTGGAGGTAGCGTAGGGTCCGTAGAAACTTAATAACTAAAACAAATAACTTATCTCTTTAATCATTAGTTATCCCACCTTTGCAAGTAATGTGGTTAATAATGACAGAATTAATTACATTACTTATCCCACCTTTATATGTGTGTGTGGGTGTTGAATAATAAAAAAATATTTAAACAATAAATACTTGAAATCCCTTAAAGATAATATAAATATTTAAATTTTGTTATCCAATGCATAATAAAAACTTGAATAACGGATCCTGCAGAACACAAAAACTTCTTGTCTTAGCAAAAGCGCTCGATAACACGTGCATCATACCAGCGACTGCTTTGGATGTGTCCATGTTTTGTTTACTTTGTCGTCTTCTCTTGTCCTTATTGATGATTTCACATGGGAGTGTCGACTCCAGTAGTAATTTAGGGTTAATCAATTTTTGCTGGGGCTCTAACTTAATTCATACATTTTTTTCTCAATAATAATATATAAAATTGAGAGACAGTTATTCGTTTTAAGATTTAAGTTTTTCTTATGAAACTAATTTGACAGTCCCGACACCTAAAGGATAAATTACAAGTGAAAGAAAGGTATAATAAACACATCTCAACTAGAATAAATAAATACTAATTAATGTAAATCAAGAACAAATTAATTGAAACACTCTCAAGGGAAGTCCCGACACTTTCTGTTCGATTGAATCAGACGTATATACTAGAATTCATGCTTCTCAAATCTAAAAGTTCCAAAAAAAATTCCCAGTAACTTCTTTTTTTATTCAACGAAGTGAAACTGTATATTTTTCTTTTCTAATAAGTTATCAAGGAAGGCGACTCTCTTCCCCCTTCAGGCTAACCTTTTTGGAGAGCATGAAAGGAAATTAATTGATTGCACGCACGGTGCTGTATATCAACCAACCTACAAGAAAGCATGGTTATTTTCAAATTTTCATTGTCTGATGCGCATTTATCATTAAATAACCAGTCATGGGCAAGTATTTGGGCAATTTTTATTTTTTTTTGTAAAATCACTGTCTAGCTAAGAGAAAAAACCACGCTGATTAATTAATTAACTTGAATCATTAGTCAAGAGTAGGAGATAAAGTGAGACCGGGAGCATATTGTGGAAAAGTTGACATGCAAGGGGGAGGAACCGAGTGGGAAGATGGAGATGGAGATGGCCCCTCCACCCACTAAACATGTTTATTTACTTGAGGATAAGAAAATAGGCGTTAAAGACGCTATCAATCAATCGATGAAGATGAAACTCACTCACAAAGGATTGGATGCCGTAAACTTTTGACTGGAGAAAAAGAAATCAGTACTTTCACCAATCAAATCCATGCCAGAAACTTGAAAGACAAACCTACCCTCTGTACATGATATTCAAATCTATGATAAATTTGTGAGAAGTCATTACACACACACACACACATATTGTTTTAGTCTACATGAACTCGTTTTCTGCAATAATTTCGTGCTATGTGCTGTATAATGTTTGAAGTTCTTGGCTTTTTTTTTACGAGGCTGATACATTTGTTTGAAAGCGTTAATAATTTTCAATTCTTAGTGGAGTATTTTGAGCCTAGACCAACCTTTTTCATATTGAAACTACTTCAATTTAATGGGGGTTTTTGACATTGTTCCAAGAGTTTACATTAATTAATATAAATAAAATGCTTCGCTTGAATAAATGAGTCGAATCCTAATTTATAATTCAATACAGTTGGTTTTGAGAAAGCAATTAAAACACTCCATTTGCATCAATTCACTTGTGCTTTTAGAAAAACTATCTTATGATTTATATAGTTTTTTAGAAACTAAATTAAAATAGATAAAGATTTGAATTTATAAACTATTTTAATGAATCATGGTTTCCTTTTTTCCAACGCGATCATATTTTTATTATTGCATTTTATGGTGCTGGGACGTTGGGTTGTCGATGCAAAGATTAACTGGTTATAAACTTGGCAAATTCTGACCATTTTCAAAATTATCCACTGGGTTCTGTCCATCGATGAATTCTGGTAATATACTGATAAGAATAGTGAAATTAACATTATTTTAAGGATTTAGATGACAGATATAGTGCCGACTAGCTAATAAGATGCAAGGAGCTGTGAGGTATTCCATTTCTTAACGGAGAAAGAGAGATGTTTAAAGCAAATTGCTGCTATCCTACCGTGCAAAGGACTTCCCTAGTTTCCTCCATTAAACCATCTACTAAATTCCATGTATCCACCGGCCAGTGCATGGATAGGGGTTGGTGCTTGAATTGCTGTTCTAATTAATCTGTCTCTGTTCATGAACGAAAGCAAGCAGGCTATGATTTTGTTTTTTTTCCTTTTGGGCAACAACGTGTGATGGATAACTAGATAATTAGCCACACACGATCTTGGAGTATGGATCCACACTGTTGCGTGATTTAAATCTAGATGGCGCCCGCCCTCCTCTTGAAATTGCCTTTTCTTGTCCAAACGGGAGAGAATATTAGTCGTGCAATTAACGTCAAGTACTAATAGCATGAAAGAAATGGGAGATTTTATCGGCATCATTGCCTCTGCTTTCCCAGTATATTTATATAAAAATTGGTATGTAGATTGTGAGATTGCCTTGCTGAGAATATCTATCACCTTTCCCATTTTACGATGAACCGAGTATGTGTTTTGGATTGAGTTTTAGCCATCATAATCCCGATGGTACAAACATAGCTTTCCAGCAAAGTATCAATTAACACACACACCATCATTATCAAAGAAACGAAAGGGAGCTTAAGTCTCCAAATCCTATTCCAGGATGTGGAGGCCCTGGCTATCACGAACAAATCAATCAATTTGAACAGAGAAATTAAGAAAACAACACTTCGATGGCTGTGACATTCGAGCAGTAAATTAAATTAAATTAAAGCTTAACTTGACAATCAGAATTGTTTTCTGGCTAAGATTAAAATACAAATAAATAAAAATGAAACCCCACTGCATTAACTCTAAACAAATGCATCCTAACCTGTAGTTTATTCATATTTTCGGTAAACAAAATGTAACCAATGCAATGTTGCTGTTCTGGAGCTCCCAAGCCATTGACAGCATCCCTTGCTGCTGCTGCTTCTTTTGTAAGAGAAGGTTGAAATTTGAATTCAAAATAAAATAGAAGAAGCCAATTAATTAACCCTGTGAAGCTATGAAATTTGAAGGATGTAGTACGGTCTCTAATGACTAATTTAAAAAGAAATGGCAATTAATGCTCTTGAAGGCTCAAAGAACCTTCATGGAGAATTAAACAATTGGCACAAAAGAATATCAATCCACGGCGGCTTGTTAAATTTAAGAACTATATGTATTTATTTATTTTTATCTGAATCCACAGCATGATACATTGTAGCCTATTTTACGAAGCTTTTCGATATTTTTCAGAGAAAAGGTGTCGTTTTACTGCAAATTTAGTCTCGCTTTTTGTAAGTGCTCACCCAAAAAAAAAAACAAAAGTGCCCAACCTATTTAAAAAGGGGAGGGTATCATAGTAACCATTGAGACCAGCACACGACATTAAACAAGACTTGTAAACCAAAAACACAAGGAGGCAATTAAACAAGACTTGTAAACCAAAAACACAGGGAGGCAGAGGCAGAGGCAAAATATTTGTTTTGCTCTGTTTCTTAGAACACTATAGGGCAGGGCAGGGGGAGTTTCTCAGAAAAAAGCAACTACTGTTAGGCGTTTCTTTTTGTCAGATCTCTTCCAACCGCAGCGTACAAAGTTTCCTTTTAAAGATAAGAGTGATGGATGGATAGATTGATAGAGATACATTCTTTTGCATGCTGGGTTATCATTTTTGTCAACGGATTTTGATGCAGTGCACAGCCAATTCTTAGGAAAACCAGCTTTTTAGAGAAGGATATCTCATATTTAGTTGGTACAGGAGGGCAATTAATGTGTTGCCAAATTTCCATCGTTGTTTCTATAAGAATCTGCAATGTATAGTAGAATAGTAACCACTCTCAAGGGAAAGCTGTGACAGCCGTTTTTAGATTACAGTACTTTACTCGGTGTATTCTCACTCTTAAAGGCATAAAACGAGAGAAGCACCTGTGTCTTTGGCAAAAGGAGTTAAAGAAGTGCCAGCTTTGCAGAACTGTCGCACATTTGTCCGAAAAAGGCCCCTTAATTTCTCTGTCTCCAAATTATAAATCCGAGAGACATCTCCGAGGACTTCAAAACCAACTACCATCACAACTGTTTAAGGTTATTGATTTGTTCTCAGTGTGCTTTTGGTTTCTTGGTTTGGCTTGGACTTTGTCTTAATTATGGCTTTACTATTTATTTCAGATCTGTAGAGGAGCATTGAAGGAAAATGTCCAGTCAGAAACAAGGAGAGGAAGCTATGGTCTCTAGCTTCAATGACACTGAGCATGAAGAGAAAGAGGAAGTAAGCAGGGATGAATCCGGTTTTAGGCTTAAAAGCCTTCTTTGGCATGGAGGGTCAGTGTATGATGCCTGGTTTAGCTGTGCTTCAAATCAGGTACAATTACAAAATCAGGTCAAAAGCCAGTTCATAATTTGACCAAAACAAAGTTGATCTTTTCATTAGTTTTGACTTTTCTTTTGCAGGTTGCTCAGGTTCTGTTAACACTGCCATACTCTTTCTCTCAAATGGGGATGCTTTCAGGCATAATTTTGCAGATATTTTATGGTTTTCTTGGAAGTTGGACTGCTTACCTTATCAGTGTTCTCTATGTTGAATACCGAAGCAGAAAGGAGAAAGAGAATGTCAACTTCAAGAACCATGTTATACAGGTTAGCCTTCCAAAAACCCACAATATAAGAACAAAAGGAAGGAAATGAAATCCGAGTTTTATATTACGTCTTCCAAAATTATTTTTTTAAAATATCAGTTCTGTTTTGTCTAAATTTTGAGTCTGCAGTGGTTTGAAGTGCTAGATGGATTACTGGGTCCAACTTGGAAAGCTGTTGGGTTGGCCTTTAACTGCACTTTTCTCCTGTTTGGTTCTGTCATACAGCTTATAGCCTGTGCAAGGTTAGTTCTTGTTTCTTTCCTGTTCTTGTATTTCCCCCTACTTTCCCTTGTATTTCCCCCTAATTTCCCAGAGTTACTGAATATGGATTTTGTTAATGCACTGATTTGAGTGGATTATTTGGGTAATCACAGCAATATCTACTACATAGATGACAAATTTGACAAGCGGACATGGACTTATATTTTTGGAGCTTGCTGTGCGACCACAGTGTTCATTCCTTCGTTTCACAACTACAGAATTTGGTCATTTCTTGGGCTTGGAATGACTACCTACACAGCTTGGTATATGACTATTGCATCTCTTGTTCACGGCCAGGTAATTAAAATTTAGATCAACATCCAGATATTTCATAGGCATCGACTTTATTCACATTCCACACCAGCAGGATTTGATTTTTGCTTTTCCTTAAAATATTATTACCATTATTTTACAGGTTGATGGGGTAGCTCACTCGGGCCCAGCAAAGGCTGTTCTATATTTTACTGGAGCCACCAATATCCTCTACACTTTTGGTGGGCATGCTGTCACTGTGTAAGAAGTCTTTCTTATTTTTAAACGCTATCACCCTGAAAGAAACCAATTAAGGTTTTTAGTTTATTTATAATGGAAATTATGGGTTTAACAATGAGGACATTTTTTGCAGCAAGTTAATAACGATACCTTAAATGATAGAGTCATGAAAGCTGAGAGTTTATGAGATTCCATCCATAAAACGCCAAAAGAACAAAATTCTTCTGGTAAAAGATGCCGTGATTGACAGCCATGTGTTACACCTCAAACAGGGCCTGGTTTTGATTGGTAAAATGTAACTAACAAATGTTAGGTTCGTCAAGCCAGGAAAGTTGTTGTTAAGCTCTACGTAATCTATTGCCGTGTCATCAAATTAACTATAGGAACCTTGGCAAGCATGTTAGTTAATCATTTGGATTCAAATTCCAGTGTCGCCCGAGATGGAGGGATTTAGGGAAAAGTCCTCTCTTTATGTAGTCCTGGACATGTTAGGCCTCTTCTCTTTATCGTATTGAAATTTACACCCTAGTTCCTATAAAACAATACTTTACCGACTCATCTTAGCAAGAGACGAAAAGGGGGGAATTTATGGATTTATCATAACAAATCAGTCCTTCACTCTTGGTTGTAACTATTCATTTTCAAGTGGATCATTCTAATGGCCATGGCTTCTTGGTTATAGGGAAATTATGCACGCCATGTGGAAGCCTCAAAGGTTCAAGTACATTTATCTACTCGCTACCCTTTATGTGTTCACTTTAACGCTTCCATCTGCTGCTGCGACCTACTGGGCCTTTGGAGATCAACTCCTCACACATTCAAATGCTTTCTCCCTGCTACCCCGCACCGGATGGCGTGATGCTGCTGTTATCCTTATGCTTATCCATCAGGTTCTTGCACCCTTGTTCTTTTATCGTCATCAATAAAGCCTTGCGATCTATAATCAGTGATTAGCATTAATGATTAGTAGTTAGCGGGATAAAATAATCTTGTTTATCCAGCCTCTTATTGCAAAGAGACATTTTTGAATTCAAATATTTCAGAGAGGATTTGAACTCGTGATCTCTTACAATTCCAATGAGCTAACCATCTCTAGCTTGCTTGTAACAGTCATGATTTTTGAACTGCAAAATTGACGTGCACAACGGTGCTTATTAGGCAAAGATAATTAATATTGGTTGACAAAAATGTTGAGAAGTTTTAATTGATTTGATCGATTAATTTGGTGTGTGTGTCTGCATTGCAGTTTATAACATTCGGATTCGCTTGTACACCGTTGTATTTTGTGTGGGAGAAAGTGATCGGTATGCATGATACAAAGAGCATATTGTTAAGGGCAATATGCCGGTTACCTGTGGTCATACCTATATGGTTCTTCGCAATTATATTTCCTTTCTTTGGACCAATTAACTCAGCTGTGGGGGCTCTTCTGGTCACCTTCACCGTCTACATCATCCCTGCTTTAGCTCATATGCTCACTTACCGATCTGCCTCAGCTCGACAGGTAAATGGTCCATTGTCTCTACCGCTTATCTTTATCTCTACCTAATGCTTGCACTATATATCTGGCTGGCATTGTCTAGTGCTTCCATGGAGTTGCTAGTCCGTCACTATATTGATCTCACTTTATTATTAGTTACCAAAATTTCCAACACAAAGGAATAGGTGGACGTACACTTACCCTGATAGTTACTGTTGCTGGGATTGCATCCAATGATTAGTCACAGGGGAAGTCTATTTTGGTCCTAATTTCATGCTAGCTTACTTAATTTGGTTGTATTTGCCAGTTAATTAGCAGACCAATCCTAATTTTGACATCATAGAGATCAGAGAGGCGAAGTTGTTGATAGGGTACTATCCTGGTTACAGAAATTAAAGCACACCAAAAGCATTACAAGATGTTGTCGAAAGGGTACGATACGCTGTTGTCTTGTATAAATTAATTGAAAGGCAACCTTACTGATTGTAGAAAGTGCAATAATTTCATGGATAGTTCCAGCTCGATAGCTTAGCTTGGACTGTGGAATTTACCCCGTTATTCTAGCCCCACTAATTGGTTCAACGGCTGAAATTTGAAAATTTATTACAATGATGAGGTTGGTCGCATCTCCTTGTCTTTCAGTTATTTGCCACATATACACTTATACTTATTCCCTTTTGTACTCTTGGCGATAGCTGGCTATCTCTCTGAACGTGCTTCCTGGGGTCACTGGTCTTATTCCTAATGACGCAGTAGAAAGTTAAGAATGGACAAATTCTAGCAGTGCTCGTTAATCTGTACATGTGCACATCTTTTAAGCTGTAGCATCCTTAACAAGTCTCTTAAAATTGTTTGTTTCGTTGTTGCAAATGCAGAATGCAGTTGAGAAACCTCCTGTCTTCCTCCCAAGCTGGACAGCCATGTACGTATTGAATGCATTTATAGTGGTATGGGTACTTGTGGTTGGCTTTGGACTGGGAGGGTGGGCTAGTATGTCCAATTTCATCAAGCAAGTTGACACATTTGGCCTTTTCGCCAAGTGCTACCAGTGTCCACCCTCGGCTGCTGCAAAAAAACATTAAGTTTGGGATTCCCCGAGTTAATAAACCTTCTTATAGCATTTTAAATTGTCTCTCTCATGTATTATACACACTACACAGGGGCTGGCAGTAGCATCTCCCCTGCCTTGTGTTTTGCATAAGCCCTTCTATAAATAGTAGCCTATTTGCGAATAGTGATGTTTGCTTGCTATAGTATATGATCATGTATCAATGCTGTTATTCTCTGTTCACAAAAGCACATCTCAGAGTTAGCAAATGTAGTTACTGGGGGCATCTTTTAGTTGTCTATTGAAGAATCTGCAGTACTGGCAATAGTGGAGCGTGCCTCTGGTGATGTTTGATAAACCATCTTTGCCCGAGAAGATTTGGGGGGGGGGGGGGATTTGTC